CATCGGTGGCGACTCCATAAGACCCCCCTTCGAAAATTTGCTTTTAGGTTCAGCCCGGTTATCGGACAACCTAAAAGCTCCCTTTCGAAAACCTCGCCCTTGGGTCCAACCCGATTATCGAACAACCTAAAGGCGTTGTAACACCACCCATATAAAATGCGAAAATGGAAGTCGGAACCATCGCGTCGCTTCGACCGCCTCTTTTGACAGCGGCGACATCCCCCCTAATTTTATATATTTGAATTCATTGATCGCTACTCCATGATAAACATGTGTGTAGTTAAAAGTGTACAAATACATCATTTAACTTGAAAAGTAATTTGTCTCCACTGATTAGGGTCTTAGATCCAACACTGACCATTATATTATCCTTTTCTTCTTAATATAACTTTACAATGAGAAGTCCATAATGAGTTCAAATATAATGTCATTTTTAATAACAATAATATAATTTGTTTTCTTCATCATAATTTACATGTATATAAATAAAGAAGAAAACACAAATTTTAGAAACTTATATATTAAAGATCTCAGAATGTGATATAAGCATTAATAATAACATTAACATTCACCGTTCACTAGTTAACATAAATGCTCATATTCTCTACATGGCTAACAAATACTTTGGGCGGTAACCCTTATGTTAAAGGGTCAACAATCATAAGATTAGTGCTAATATATTTTGTTGACAATCTACGTTTCTAAACTTCTTCTTTAACGACAAAGTATTTCAATTTAATATGTTTAACACCTTTAGAATACTTGTCGTTCTTAGAAAAGAAGATTATTGTGGAATTATCACAAAAATTTTTCAGCAGTTTGACAATATTGTCAACTACCCCAAGTCCTAAAATAAAATTTTGCAACTAATTAGCCTGAATTGTGTCCTCAAAGCATGTCACAAATCCAACTTCCATGGTAGATGCAACAATGACGGACTGTTTCACACTTTTCCATAAAATCGCTTCTCTGGCTAAAAAATACACGTACCAAATGTAGAATTTCGTGTATCCATATAGCTGAAAAACTTCTGAATTTGTATATCCAATCACCCAAGGTGATCGGATTTCCTATAAGTAAGCATGAGATTTTTTATTCATTGTAAGTATCATAAGACTTTTTTTGCAACTTTCCAAAAAATCTAGTTCAAGATTACTTTAATATCTACCCAACATAAGAACTGCAAAACTAATATCTGGTCTCATACATATTTGAACATACATCAAATTCTCAACAACGAATGTATAAGGGATATTTTCTATTTGTTTTCGTTTCAAGTCATTCTTTGGACATTGCATGAGACTAAATTTGTCTCTTTTCTGTATTGGAATAGGAGATGTTGAACATTTATCCATTTGAATCTCTTGAAAACTTGATTAATATATACTTTCTGAGACAAACCTAACCATCATTGTAATCTATCACGAAATATTTCTATTTCTATCATATAGTATGCCTCACCCACATATTTCATTTCAAAGTTGTTAGAGAATATTAGTCTCACTTAATAAACCAAGTTGCAAGCAAGATATCATCAACATACAAAATCAAAAATATAAACTTACTCCCACTGACCTTCACATATATATATTGATCAACAATGTTTTCCTTAAATCCAAAGGACAAAATAGTATCATTGAACTTGAGAACCATTGCCAAGAAGCTTGTTTAAATTCATATATTGATTTCTTAAGTTTACACACCATATGTTCCTTTCCTTCTTCAATGAACTTCACTGATTGGTGCATATAAACATCCTCCTCTAAATCCCCATTGAGAAAGACAGTTTTAACATTCATTTTATGCAACTCAAGGTCATAATAAGTTACTAATGTCATGATAATTTTAAAAGAATATTTCTTAGAAAGAGGTAAAAACATTTCCTTATAGTCACTGTCATCTTTTTGAGTAAAACCTTTGACAATAAGTCGACACTTGTAACGTTCAATATTACCATGAAAGTCATACTTAGTTTTAAAGACTCATTTACAGCTAACTCTCTTGCATCATTCTAGAAATTTCATAAGATCCTATATATTATTTTGTGTCATTAATTTAAGTTCATCTTTCATAACATCTAACCACTTATCAAAATTATTATCATTAATGGGTTCTGAAAATGAAATAGGGTCATTATCAATGCTTAAGTCATTCTTTGACTCTTGTAAATAAACTACATAATCATTCAAAATAACATACTTTCTTTCTTTATGATATCTTCTTAATATTATTTTTTGTGATTATTCTAGTATCGGCTCATTGTTAATCTCAGATCATTAATTTGTTATTATTCTTGATTGTTGTGTGATTCTACAACATGTAGAACAACAACTCTTGAAGAAGAAATACTCGTTACAGAAATTTGTAATCTAACTTCCTTAATCTCCATATTTAGTGAAACTTCATTTCCATCTGGTTTCACCATTCTCGATGAAACGAGTATTTCCAATTTCAATAATTCGATATTATGAGTAGGACAAAAAAATATATACCCTTTTGATTTTTACTGGATAACCAATAAAATATATTTTTATCTCTCTTTCTTTTTTTACACTTTCTAATAATTTTATGTGGAAAAAATTTTATGGCTAAAAATAAAACCCTAATCTCTTTGATTTACTAACATCCATAATTACTATAAATTTTTATTTTATTATAATTTTTTATAATAACCAATATTTCTTTATATTTTATTAAATTATAGTTGTACTAATTGTAATATTTCGCATGAGTTACATAACTAAATTAATTCATCAATTAATTTTAATAATAATAATAATTAGATAACCAGTAATAATATTATTATACCTAAAACTAATATTTAGTTTTTTTAAAATCTAAAATAATTTCAAAAGTAAATAAAAAATATATTTTAACTTTTGTTATTTAAATTGCATTTAAAATATAAAATACTAACCTTCGGAGTTATTTTGAACCATATATATTCTTAAAATTGTGTTTATACAAGCCTGATAATCACCACGATCAACATTATCACTTAAAATATTTTCAATTTTAAAATATAAATTCAATTTGCCTATGATTTTATCTTTTATGTAAATAAGCCACAATATAACATATTAGAATAAGTCTTCCGACCGAGAAATAAGGGGTATTTTTTTTTTTAATATGAAGTATGATAAGTACACCAATATTAGAGAGTGGAAAATTAACTGGGGATTCGTCTTATCCCTTTTATCCTTATATATAACATTAATGTTTCAATTGTGTTTGGATTAAAAAATTAGATTTGAGGAATGGAAATGATGAAAAAAAATAAAAAAAAGTGGTATGTATTAAAAAAAGAGAGACAGTAAAAATAGTATAAAGTTAAATAAATTTATTTATGATTAATATTTTTTAAATTATTATTTGATATATTAATAATAAATATAAAAATATATTAATTGATCTTTTTTAACTTCATTATATCTTTATTTTTATTTAACTTGATTAATATATAAAAAAAAACATAAGTGAAAGGCCCAAAACTTTATCTTAGTTTTATTTTTATTTTTTTATACTAAAATACGCACTTTCATCGTCTTTATTTTTTTTAGTTGAAAACAAACTATCATTAAAATAATTTTATTTAAATTATTATTTGCTTTAGAGTTGAAATTCGATTATTATATATTTTTTTAATTTGCCTCGATAGATTAACATGACATATATAATTTTTACCATTCATCTTAACATGACTGGTGTAGAGTTTTAGACGAGTAGGACAAAAATATTAGTTTTACTATTTTTAATTAAAATTAAAAGTTTATTTCAATACAATAAATAAGACTTGTAGAGAAAAAATTGATGGACAACCATATTTTATTTAACAACTTTTTTTTAATAATAATCATTTTAAATTATTTTTATTTTTATAAATCATTTTATGATTTTTATAAAATTGTCTATGGATGTTTGGACGATGTCAATACATCAACATTCTAGAAGCAAACAACGACCTCAAATTTAGGAATCTAATCACAACAGTATCGGTGGGACATAGTTATAGGAGTGATATATAGAAAATTCATTTTTATTAAACTTTCATCCAAAAATAATTTTAAATTTTTATATTATTATTTATTAATTAATATAAAAAATATTATATTTTAGATATATGGAAAATTTTAGTTATAAAAAAAATATTTTTCTAATTAAGATTGAAATGTGGTTATGCGGATTTTTTAAGATTGAGATCATGATCACTTACAAATGTTGTAATTTACATATTTATATTTATGATTTTAAGACTCTCGGTAGCAATGGAGTCGTGCAATCATAATGATATTTTAATTTTTTAATAATTAATTTGTAATTAATTAAAAGATATTTTAAAATATAATAAATTATGGAAACCATATAGTAACCTAAACACAAGTTACTTAACATTTTTTACATATTAAATATAATTTAATTATTATTTTAGTTCTTAAATTTAAAGTCATTCTTATTTTGATTTTAATCTTCTAGTTAAAAAAATAACTTAAAATTAAAAATATTTTAATCTCTAAATGTTAAACTTAAGAGACTTAAAAAGGTTTAAAAAGTATTTTTAATTCTTAAAATTCTATATTTAAAGTCTAAGATAATATATTATTAAATTTGAAAGATTATTTTTTAAAATTTAAAAGATTAAATTTTTTTTATCATAACCGTAAAAAGATCAAATACTGGCATGTGCTCTTTGAGTGATGTTCGCGTACTATTTACACCTTTTTATTTATTTATTTATTTACCTTTTAAAGTATAACTTTTATATTTTCATTGTCATATTTTAATCATTTATATTCCCATTGTCATATTTTAAAATACCTTTTAAAATATTAATTTTCAAGTTCCTTTCGTCATTATGTTACATTACATGGTTCATTTTTCCGTTCATTGTTTCATGGTTTCGGTTCTTGGATTGACTTTGAAATAATCGAGAACCAAATCGTTTGCGAGTGAAGAACTCAGTGAAAAGAAAATATTAGTCTGAGAAGAGAAGAAAAGAAAGGATGGAGTGGGGGAAGTGGATGGCGACGACGTCGTTTATGATACTGCAGTTTGCATCGTTTATGGTGTTTGTTTGGGGAGATAGAAGGTTTACTAAGGTCGAAAACACACCGAAATTCGAAGGCAGTTTTCTCGGCAAAGCCACGAATTTCTTATGGCAACCGGAGGAATCAGGTTATCAACACGTTTGGCCTGTAAGTTTTTCATCATTTCCTTGTCCTGTTTGTTCTACGCATGGTTAGAATGGAAGAAAGAAAAATATGAATGTCTTCGAATCAGTGCGAATCTATGTCAACGGGATAATTTAATAATATAAATTAAACGATTTATTTATACATTTTTAAGTACACAAATTAATCATAAAACAGTGTTTAATGGGTTTAAATGTATAAAATTAAAAAAAATCTACAGATCTATCATAAAACAAAAATCAACAAATTTAAATATATAAAATTAGATGAATAAAATAAAATTGTTTAAATATTTAATAATAATTTTAATAAAATTAAGCGTGCATATATACACTTTCGTTTAGATGTCCAGTACTCTCTCGTATTTATATGTCCTTCGAATTAAATTAAAAATTGAATATGAAGGTTACTTTTGCAGGACATAGAATTTGGGTGGCGAATTATTTTGGGGACGCTAATGGGTTTGTTTGGAGCAGCATTTGGAAGTGTTGGAGGTGTCGGCGGTGGCGGCATATTCGTTCCCATGCTCAGTCTCGTTATTGGCTTCGATCCGAAATCCTCCACTGCTCTGTCCAAATGTAAGATCTCCACCGCATTTATTAAATTTAAATTGTTTTCTTAAAATAATATAATAATTTCACAACTTTTTAAAATTATTTAGTTAAATGAAACAATATTAAATAGTCAATTTTTTAAAATAACTTTTGTTTTAAATAATTTTCTTTATTAAAGCAAACGCAATATTAAACAAATGGGAAAAATAGAAAACGGAATTTGGATTCACAGATGTGGGCTCAAGTGAAGGCGATGGCGGTGGCGGGAGACGCGACGCGGTGGTGCCGTATGCGGTAGTGTCAAATCACACTCAGTGCAGTAGAAGTTTGGGCAGAAGTGAACATGCAACATGAGAAACGAGAGAAAGCTTATAGAGTAAAAAATACAACAACATAAAAAATAGACTTAATTATTTATTTACTTTATTTAATATTTTCTTAACAAAAAAAATCAATAAGTTGGAAATGCAATAGTATAATATTTTTAAAGTCTAATAATTTTTGTTAAATTTTAAAATACGATAATATAACTCTTTTATTAGTTAAAATAACACATTTAGTTTTACAAATTATTAATTAAATGCAAGGGGTCACATTATTGCATGCTTAAAATTGAGGAATTTGATGGATTTTTTTTTCTAATAATAATAAATAATGGAATTAAAAAAATTAATTACTATAATCTTGGGTGACAGGTATGATCATGGGTGCAGCTTTGTCAACTGTTTACTATAATCTTAATCTAAGGCACCCCACTTTGGATTTGCCCATCATTGACTATGATCTGGTACTGCTCATTCAACCAATGGTCTTGCTTGGCATTAGCATAGGAGTGGTCTTCAATGTGGTAGTTCCTGATTGGATGGTTACATTGGTGCTTCTTGTTCTATGTTTAGGTAATGGTTTTTCTTAGTTGTGACTTTGTTTAGTCATTTTTGTCTTAGACACACTTTTGACTCATCTTGCTTGTTTTCAGGAACATCCGTCAAGGAATTCTTTAAAGGCGTTGAAACATGGAAAAAGGAAACCATAAAGGAGGAGGTAACAAGTAAATGTATTATCTACTTCGTATCTTTAAACTGGCAATGACACTGAAAAAGTTTATTGCTTATTCCCTGAACCTCACTTGTTTCTTTTTAATTAGGAACATGCTAGGAAACAAGATTCAAGTGGTGAGTTAAGAAAGTACTCATTACATGTACCAAAACATGATAAAATTCCTTTTTGTAGTCAAAGTGTTTATAATTCTCTCTGGGACAGGTGTTGGGGCTGAAGTAGAATACAGACCAATTCCTAGTGGACCAGACACTGACATTGCAAAGGACACCAAAAAAGAGGTCTTGTTTTTACTTTATGGTTAGGATGTGGTTTTCATATCTTATTAACTATAGACAGTGCAGGTGGCTATGCTTGAAAATATATGTTGGAAGGAGTTTGCAATTCTTGTTTTTGTTTGGGTTGTATTCCTTGCCATACAAATTGCCATGGTTTGTTATATTTCATTTAACAATTTCTACAATCGATTAGTATGTTCTCTACCATGGAATCTTTCTAATTTAATTTTTAATAATTTCACATTGACTATGGCGACAGAACCAGACAACCAAATGTTCAGCAATATATTGGGTACTGAACTTGTTGCAGGTAATTTTGGTCAGAAATGGCCTCAAAGCTAATACCCATTTTGCTTTCTCCTGAATTTAGAGTGTTTGTATTATAACTAATAGTTTATTTGAATGAACAATTTATTTTAAATAATCTTAAGTATTTATTATTATGTCAACATTTATGTGGCTATTTCCATAATTAAACAGATAAATGAATTAACTTTTTTTTACGTAAAGTGTAAGCTATTTTTGTAATAGATTATCCTAGAAAACCTATTGAAATTAAACTAAAACCAGATCATGAACATATAGTAAACTATTTTTATAGTTTTATATTCTCATACAAGTATTTATGCCACAAAGTTTAAATAAATAATAGAAAAACAAAATCTAGCATTTTGTAAAATATTTTCTTTTTTCATATTCTATATTTCACAATTAATTATTTTAAACTTTATTGATTATTTTGAATATAATAAAACCAACATTTTGTTGGTCTTAGTAGAGTACAAGTTTCACATTAAGTCTAAAAGATAGAAAAAAAAGTGATTGAAAAGAATGATATCAATTAAATTGGATAGTTAGAATTAGTAATCATGTTTATAAAGTATAACGCCAACTACCGGGAATAATTTTGTTTCTTTAACTTGTTTATTACAAGTATTATTTAGACATTTAATGAGTTATTTTAAAATATATTTTTTTCTATTAGGGCTAAATATATATAACTTATTTATATAATTAATTATAATAATAATTGATTATAATTCGATTATTGACTTAATTTTTTTCCACAGATAACCTGAAGACTGAAATGATAATACTGCTAATATTTGTTTTGAAAATATATCGGAGTATCTGTCACAACTTATACTGATTGATTCCATGTTTTAGGACTGTTTAAACCTTGCTTTTTTGTAAATCATGCAGATTCCAGTTTCAATTGGGGTAGCTGGATATGAGGCAATTTCTTTGTATAAAGGAAAGAGAGCATTTTCTTCTGTGGGAGATCAAGGCAAAAGTTTTACTATTAAGAAGCTATCTCTGTATTGTACCTGTGGAGTATTGGCTGGAACAGTAGGTGGCTTTCTAGGAATAGGTGGAGGATTCGTTATGGGGCCACTCTTTTTGGAGCTGGGAATCCCACCTCAGGTGAGTTTCAAGGTGTAGTATTACAAATTTCGGAATAGCAAATGTGCACCACATAGACAGAAGAAACCAATTAGAGTCATAACTCCTAAAATGAAACATGCTTATATATCTTTGTTTGAAGCTCTAACTAGGTTTCAAGATAATGGAACACAAAGGGTACTATGGCCATCCTTCATATGAGAAATGGCACATGTATATGAGTAAGGAAAATGCTTGGGAAACAATGTTGATTTGTTCTCTAAAAACTAAATCATAGATGGGTGATATAAATCAACTGTTTGAATGAATATTTGTAAGAATAGATGTAACACTAATGCAAAAAAGGCTTTTTACATCGGTTAAAATGGGCTTTCTACGTCGGTTAAAGCGGCGACATAGATATGGGGTCATAGAAAGTAAGGCTTTCTACGTCGGTTCCTAATAACCGACGTAGAAAGTAAGGCTTTCTACGTCGGTTCCTAATAACCGACGTAGAAAGTAAGACTTTCTACGTCGGTTCCTAGGAACCGACGTAGAAAGCCCTACTTTCTATGAGCTATTATGATCGGTCAAACTGGTTCTGATCGGTCATAGAGCTATACTGATCGATCATAGCTGGTTCTGATCGGTCATAGGAAGACTTTCTACGTCGGTTAGTCGAGGACAGACGTAGAAAGTCTTACTTTGTATGAGCTATTCGATCGGTCATAGCTGGTTTCGATCGGTCATAATACTTTCTATGTCGGTTAAACTTATAGCAGACATAGAAAGTCTTACTTTCTAACTTTCTATAACCCCGAGTATCTATATCGGTTAACGATACTCAGTGATTGTATGTGTTATCAATGTCGGTTATGCCTATAACCAGACATAAAATGTTAAACTTTCTACGTCGGTTATGTCAATACCCGACGTAGAAAGTACTTTCTACGTCGGGTAATGACATAACCGACGTAGAAAGTGTTATTTTTTTTTTTAAAATCTGCATTTTCTTCACAAATGCTACCTTTCTTCGAGTAGACCTGCCTATTCATCACAGTTCCAAACAAATATTCACAGATCCAGTACAGACAGATATGCACAGTTCATATATAAATTTGCTACAAATATATATCCGAGTACGAGACGAGATCTCGTTGCGCAGGCAGATATGTACATATGAAACACATTGAAATCAATATATGTACAGACGAGATCCGAGTTCCAGACAGTTCATTTACTTAAACGAATGTAAATTTCCTAACTTAAATCAATTCAATCTAAATTGTTACAAGTCAAATTTCCTATGAAGATTGAATGCTTAAAAGGAAAGAAGCCCATTGCTCTCTAATATCGTCTAACACTTCAATCTTCATTGGAGATGAGTCCGTAAATGCCTACATATTGAAACATTTCAGATTTAGAAACCATTTACATAATTGGCATATTTAACTTAATTATAGTATATTTACCTCCCTCCATGAGCCCATAATATTTTTGTCTATGATGGTGTGCATGTGTTTCATCACATAATACCCGCACTCATGACTTCCCGGTTGGCGTGGACACTACAAGTTAAATACATGTCAGTTTAACTTTAAATGACAAATTGAACAATAGTAAGAGGTGTTTGGTCACCTTTGGTGCAATATACGTCAACTTCTTTCTAGCATGAGATGGAAGGCCTTGCAACCTTAGGTGAGCTTCCAAAGCTCTACAAAAGGACAAATAATTTTGGTGTAAGTAGTGCACATATGATACAACAATTAAAAAAACCAAACTTACGCGTCTATGTGCTTTCTAATATCCAAATCATTTGATTTCTTGTGTAATGAACACAAGAGAATCACAAGAAATTGCCGAGGAACAATGATTATGAGCTGCCAATGACCCCTGCACGTTGAAATAATATTAGTAAAATTTCAGTTTTACATAAATGTGCATTAATTTATAAGATGTATACTAACGATGCAAGTAAGGTGCTAAGTAGACTTCTTTGCCCCAGTTTGAAATGCCTCTATTAAGTACGTTTGTATCTCTTCGACTTTATTCCCAACTGGATCTGAATGGCAACAGGGTCAAGAAATCCATAGAGAAAGCGGATCTTCCTCTCGACACACAAACGATGTAAATACCTTCGACATTGAAAATAAATAAAGTTATAAAATAATGTACCAGGTGAGAATATAAAAAATATGTAAATATACTTACATTTCCCAAAGCTGCAACAACGATACACATAGCATATCGAGTACCAGCGAGAATATCAAAAATATCCCTTTGGAGTAAGAAAAAAGGGATCGTCTTGGTCCTGCATACGACTTCGGGTGGCATATCTAAGCTGTATGGGAGTGGTCCAGATAGTCGTTGCCGGTCTGCACAGACTCGTTGTAAAGCGAGATGGTGGTGGTGGTGATTCATGCACAACTTCCTTTGCTTTTTCGACCTCTTTCTATACAAGTACCAAAAATCAATAACATTAATATACATCAACCTATCAAAAAATAATAAGTACTATCGTTCAATGCATAAATCAACCTTGTGCATGTGTTGGGATGAGTCTTGTTAATGAAGCTGGCCATAAGATAAAATGGCCAGGTGCACATCCCACTTGTTTGAACCTCTTCGGTGGGAATAGGGATTAGGGCGGCAACATCCGGGACATCTACAACCACCACTACGATCATATCATCTCCAATACTACGGTGGTGGATGGTTGACCCCAATGCATACATTTTCCCTAAGGTAAACAAAGGATAAAATATGTTAGACTATATAATGCTTAACAACTGTACCAAATACATGTCAAAGATATAATACATACCGTATGCCACCAAATGCTCGGGAGGACCCGCAACATACAGCCGACGGTCGGCGGTGTCGGTAGGAGCAACCTACGCCCTCTATCGGGAGCATCACAACTCTCCTTTGTGCTTGACATGAATCGGGGATGCCTCTCGTGCGGGGACGGAAGGTTGAGAGGACAAAGATGTCAACTACTGCTCGCATTGAGCTCAATAACTCGCCTTCAGGTTAGAGTACACCTCATCTCGAATCTCCTTCCTAATTTGTTGTTTGAGGGACTCAAACTCTTGCTCATTCAGTTGCCTCAAAGAAGGAGTTGCCACGGGTGGGGCACCAAAGTACTTGTCGATGCCCACCCCTCGTCCGGCACCACGAACACGTCCAAGATGCTGCGGGGTACCAATGGCCACTTGCCAATATATCCTGACGGCCATGTGGGTGGAATGATCCACGAGTGCTCTGCTCGACCAACTCATCCTACAACACAAACGAATGATTTTTTAGCAAATACAAATGCCTATTGTAGTATAACATATATAATTAGTTTAGGATATGCTACTTATAATACGTTGAGCAACAACATTAGTTTGCTCGGATAAGTAATTCCTTGATGAGTTACGGCGAGCTCTCTTCCATTTATCATGGCGTGAAGGGCGGGTGACGAGAACTCACAGCGAAGTCATCCGAAGGTAGACTTGAAGAAGTCTCCTTCATCATCTTCTCCTCCAATTTCTCATAACCCCCACGAGACAACTCTGTGGGGGTGGATATTCTTTCTCCGAATATCCTGTGCCTTACTGCCTCTTGGCCTGTTGCATTCCATGTTAAATACCAAATTTAAAACCTTTATTTAAAAAAAATTACTGCAAACAAATGACAAATGTGCTAACACTGAAACCTAGGGTCTAATCGCTGAGTCAGAAATGCCTGCCATGTCTCCTCATCCAAAAGCGTCACTGGTCACATGGGTTCTTGTTTCTCGATGCCCCATATATGTATCGGCTGGTCGAGATCACTCTTAAAACCTCTCCGGTGTTCCCCGGCATATGAGATCCACTTTGTCCTCAACAAAGTGGTGTTAGGGACATCATATGTGACCTACACAATAAAAATAACATGAAGTTCCCAAAAAGTTAAATATATATACATGTTAAATTCCAAATAAGAGTAGGTACCAGGATACTCTGCCAAATCCGGTTCTTCGGTGTCTGCGGAACATGGTCCCAATCCTCAATAAGAATACTAACCTTGCTTCTCCCAAGCAAGGCCACATAGCTAGTGAATCTAGCACTGTGCTCTCCAATGGCTCTACCGGTTTGCATGTCAAGCTGGATAGACAATTTCCGATCGGAGCTACGGCCGATATTCAACTCCTCAGCCAGTGTAGCACGCCTACCCTTTTTCCTGGTAGACGGCTGACTACGATCACCACCTTACGTAGGAGGGGGACTGTGTAGGAGGAGGGGTACCGGATGAATCTGCCATATCCGTGTTCAAAGAAAAAAATAATAGTTATTAGTTTAGACAATATGACTAAAGATAAACAAAAAAGTGCATACATTAAAAAATAATACATTAAAATAATTTCATACATTATCAAGTTGGAACATTCTCCCAAAATCCTTCCATATGGTCATAACGTATGACATGCACATCATCTATTTCTACATTAACACTCAAGTTTGACATATTTGAAGAGAAACATGGTGTCTCGGGTATATCAAGTACTAATTCATCATTCTCATCGAAGTATACATGGGTTTTCCTTGTAGAACCATCGACCATCCTTTGTTAGCGGGATCGGTGACATAAAACACTTGTTTTGCACGAGATGCCATGATAAATGGTTCTTCGGTATAACGAGTATTTTCAAGGTTAACCAAGGTAAATCCAAGATCATCGGTGAAGATGCCGAGTATTAAAATCAACCCACTTGCATTTAAAAATAGGTACTCACGAATATCGTGTAATCTATTACCCAAATCTCTTCAATTACACCAAAGTAGCCCATTGACGCCCTTATCGGATATTTATCCTTTGAACTCGAGAAATGCATTGATTCGACCACCACCATGACTCCATTATTTTGCATTGTGCTTATTTCATCTTCTCCCTTTGTATAAAATGAATAGTTATTTATATCATACTCACCCTAACATATCACATCAAAGTTTGGCTCACATGCTAGCCACTTTAGTGTATCGAAGTCTGTTATGTCACCTTCAACTTGTTGTTTAAACCACTTCAAAAAGCTCTTGTTGTGTTCGGTGATCACCCACTTTTTAGGCATATGTGGATTATTTCGCTTCACAATCTCTTTATGAGCACTTAAGTAGGGGATGACTTCTTCACTGTTATTCAATATGTACAAATGCGCTTGAAGTACTTCATCTCGACACATTGTCACAACTTTTGCACCTCGAGTTCCTCTACCAAGACCTATTCCATGGTAACGAGTCTTAGGTAACCCTATAGGTTCAACTTCGATAAGTAGTTTGTGCAAAACTCAATAGCTTCCTCTATGATATATCTTTGAACAATTGATGCTTCAGGACGATATTGGTTCTTCACATACCCTTTTAATATTTTCATGTATCGCTCAAAAGGGTACATCCATCGTAAGAAAAGCTGGACCACAGATTCTAACTTCCCTGGCTAGATGAACAATCAAGTGACCAATAATATCAAAAAATGATGGAGGAAAGTACATCTCAAATTGACATAATATTACTGCGAGCCTCATTCTCTAACTGATCCAAAACATCCGGGTCCATAACTTTACTACATATGGCATTAAAAAAAAGCATAATCGAGTTAAGGAATATCTAACATTGTCCGGTAAGATACCTCGAATAGCCACAGGTAGAAGTTGTTGCATCAATACATGACAATCATGAGATTTTAACCCAAGCAATTTTAGATCTTTCATAGATACAAGTCTCTTCACATTGGAAGAGTAACCAAATGGAACCTTCACACCTCGTAAAAACTCACAAAAACTTCTTTTCTCATTTTTAGACGAGTGTGTGACATGCTTGGAGGCAAGTATGTTCGGTTACCATGAGGTTGAGGAGCTAATTGTTCTCTTATACCCATTTCAACCATGTCCAAACGAGCATTGACACCATCTTTTGTTTTTCCTTGAATGTTAAGGAGTGTTCAGATGATCTTGTCACACACATTTTTCTCTACATGCATGACATCTATACAATGCCTCACATCAAGAACCCTCCAATATGGAAGAACAAAAAGGATTGACATTTTCTTCCATATACACTGTGGCTTTCTTTTGCGTCTTTCCAAACTCACACGAAATCGCACTTGCTCGTTGATATACTTCTTCCCCACTTAAAGGTGTTGGGGCTGCATCATTTTCTTGACACCTGTTAAATGATTTTTTTAATTTACGATATGAATGGTTTGAAGGAAGAAATCTTCGGTGTCCAAGGTACACTTGTTTTCCTTCCATGTTGTAGTTGATAGTGACATGTGTCTTCTTCACATATCGGGCAAGCTTTATGTCCCTTTGTGCTTGTAGCCACTCAAATTACCATATCTTTGGAAAGTCATTAATTGTACAAAATAACATTGCACGCAACTTGAATAAGTCACCTGTGTACCCATCAAACACATCGACACCTTCCTCCCACGACATCTTCAACTCTTCAACCAATGGGCTTAAAAAAACATCAATGTCATTTCCAGGTTGTGCGGGACCAGGGATCATCAAAGATAGCATCAAGTACTTACGTTTCATACACAACCACGGAGGTAAGTTGTAAATAACTAACACCACAGGCCATGAACTATGTTTACTTGCTTAAATTTCCATATGGATTCATTCCATCTGTAGCAAGTCCAAACCTAATGTTTCTTGGATCATTACCAAAATTCGGAAGATGGAATCAATTTTTTCCATTGCAATCCATCTGCTAGGATGCCTCAACTGACCATCTTTAATACGACTATCCGCATGCCATCTAGTGAGCTTTGCATCATTTCCATTAGTGAATAATCATTTCAACCTTGGAACAATGGGAAGATACCATAACACTTTTGTCGGGGTACCCTTCATTATATCATTGTCAGAATCACCATCCTTCTTCTTGTATCGTGATTCCCCGCATTGTGGACATTCGTGACGAGTTCTCAAATTCTTTCGTGTACAACACACAATCATTCGGACATGCATGAATTTTTTGGTACTCCATACCCATTGGACACAATATCTTCTTAGCATCATAATTGCGGGTTGGCAATGTGTTACCTTCGGGGAGCATGTCACTCAACAACTCAAGCAATTCACGTGAAACTTTTATCGATCCACCCATTCTTTGCCTTCACATTGAACAATTTTAGTACCGCAGACAATTGTGTGAACTTAGTACAATTTGTATACAAAGGCTCTTTTGCATCATTGGATAACTTCTCGTACACATGTGTATGTTGGAAGGCATCTTGTCCAAGCTCACGAATCATTTCCTCCAACTGATCATCCATCTCTAGATCAACTTCTTCTTTGTCTTCTACACTTGGCATGTTTAATAATTCACCATGCCATGTCCACTTTATGTAACTCTTTAGGAAACCATCACAAAGAACATGTTCCCGAATAACTTCAGTCGATAATCTTTGCTCATTCAAGCAGTTAACACAAGGGCAATAGAATCTTCCATCATTATCCGGAACATTCATCTTAGCAAATTCAAGGAATTGTTCTACTCCACTCTCATATTCATTTGTTGTTCGTCTATAATTGATCCAACTCCGATCCATTGTTACAAATCTAATTTTCAAAATCAAATTAGCTACAGAAACACGAAATAACTACATTATAATGCCTACACGAAATCCAACTCCACTCTCAAAATAACTACATTATAATACAAATCTAATTTTCAAAATCAAAATCACGAAACACATTCAAATGCCTACAAAAACACATTCAAATGACTAAACTACTTACAATACATCTCTAAATTAGCTAAAGGCACCCGTGATGTTTCCCTCTCTTGACAGCATTATTACTTACTAGATTCAATACTATAAACCTACAATGGCTAAAGCAAGCACGAAAACTTACCTCTTGAAGACCTACAGAGGTGGCAGGTGGCGTGACGTGCAGAGCTGGGTGGGGAGAAACGTATCCCAGGCGACGGGCACCAGTAGCAGCAGGCGGCACGAAGCGTTGGCAGGTGGCGTGATGAGCAAATGTGGGTGCGGAGAAACGTACACAGGCGAACAGGGAGCTCTGCTATGGGTGAACTGATGAAAAGAAATGGAGCGTAGGGAGAAACGTACAGGGGAGCTCTGCTATGGGGGAAGTGATGAAATGTGTAAAACAGAAGATACTATGTTGGTTGCCCTAACACCCGTCATCAAAGACACTTTCTATGTCGGGTAAATTTTACCCGACATAGAAAGTTCACTTTCTATGTCGGTTAAATGTTACCCGACATAGAAAGTTAACTTTCTATGTCGGGTAAATCTTAACCGACGTAGAAAGTGAACTTTCTATGTCGGGTAAGATTTAACCGACATAGAAAGTTAACTTTCCACTTACTATGTCGGTTAAAACTTACCCGACATAGAAAGTTTATGATTTTATTACAAAAATGCCACCACGCCATATACTATGACGGGTGAACTATGACCGTGATAAAAACCCGTCATAAAAAGCTATTTTTCCACTAGTGTAGGTACAGTAAGCAGGATTCAAAATTAAGGAGCAAGTGGAGAAGGTCTGTTTGTTGGAGAAGGCTATGGTTTTAATTAGGCTCCAAGGGCTTTATATATATATATATATACTAGTTGTTAAAAGTCAAAATGAAATCATCTTATATTTTAAATTATCTACAATGATGGAAAATATTGGCTTCTTACAAATCTCTCAGGATAAGCAGCTACTGTGTTAGGTCTTGATTGTACTTGGTGCCCTTGTAATTTGTTTCTTATTTTTTTAACTGGCTTGAGTTGGACTTCTTCTATTAAATGGCTTCAATGTTGGGTGTCATGTGATAAGGTTGCAAGTGCTACAGCCACCTTTGGGATGGTCTTTTCATCATCAATGTCTGTGGTAGAATACTACCTACTGAAACGTTTTCCAGTTCCTTATGGTTTGTGCTTTAAAACTTCTTCTCCTTCTGTTAATTTCTATATATGTAACTTTCATTAACAAATAAACTGGATTACATTTTCTTGCCAAAGTAATATGGTAATGGATTGTTGCTCTAACCCATGCATTATGTGTGGATTGTTGCACAGCTTTATACTTTATTGTGGTGGCTGCTTTTTCGGCCATTGTAGGCCAACACATTATGAAGAAGTTGATAGATCTATATGGAAGAGCTTCTCTTATCATCTTTGTTCTAGCCTTCACAATATTTGTTAGTGCTCTCTCACTAGGTATGTCTTATATATTATTACACCCTGCCACATGTGTATTTTTCCTTTAAAATCATTTTGACATCATTTGGACAAAGAGATTAAAACATATCCATAAAATATATTTAAATCCATATATTATTATGCATAGTTTTAGTTTTTGTAAATAAGGTAATGTTCATATTTAACTTTTACAATTCACTTCCATTATGACACGTGTTTCATTTACTTGTTAGGTGGAGTTGGCTTGCTAGAAATGGTCAAAAAGATTCAAAATAACGAGTATATGGGATTTGATGACCTCTGCAAGTAATATTCATGGCTCACTTCATTGTATTATTTTATATATGGTTCTTGTTTATCTCAAGTTTCATACAAAAGAGCCAATACAGCCTAGATCAAAAATGCCTTATCCTATGTTTCGATTCATTTGAACTAGGATGTAACGTATAGCTGTTTCTGCATATTTGTCTCATTTTTTTTATGTGGTTTTGTAAGAAAAAGTCAGTTTTGGACAATATTCCAAAAAACCACTCATTGTGGCAGAGCTCCTCCTTTTTAGTGGGATGATATGAAGTGATGATCCTCTTGAAAATTTATTACCCGAATTACACTTTTTAGTATTCTTTATGTTCTACTTTATAGTGTCTTTCTTTAAAAAAAAAAATTGTTTCAAATTTTTTACTATGCATGTCAAATCAATTAATTCTGATTTTTACTAATATGCAAAATACTAATTCACAATTAACCAGATACCCTAATAAATCTTATATCCATTAAAGATAATTATACGATAGAATTATAATGTATGGACGAATATAATCTTTATATTATTGATTTAGTTTTGTTATATTGAATTAGATATGTTTTGAATTCTTTAAGACTTTTAAATGAAAAATTAAAATATTTTATAATTTTATCATATCCTAATCAAATAATATTAAAATCTCTATAATGATATTAAAAAAATAAGTAAAACTAAAAAAATAATTTATCAATTATTCTTTATATTATAATGATCAAAATTTAGATTGTTTATGTTTGTGACGTTTTTTATTTATTATTATTATTTGTATAAGAATAGGAGGTCAAAAAATATTACATATATGTAAAAGTAATTTACATCACTATATAAGATATACAATAGAAGAAGGAATTTTATTTTGATTCCTTCTTTTTTTTCTACAATTTTACAAGTATCTACATTGTTCGGTGGAAACAAACTGATTAAGGGTTTTGGAAAAAGGTAAGAGGCATAAAAAAGGTAACCACTACTCGACCCATCTAACATAATGAGATTTCTCATATCAGATACAAATGTTATTATTGAAAATCTTGTCCCTCTAAAAGTAACCGAGTTGTCTATAACATTCATGTTCCAAGTAGTTCCTGGAAAGAAGATAATTATGTTTGTAGAAAAGGGATTTGGAATATTTGGCGCCTCCATCTACTTAAGTTGATTTTTAAATAAAACATGCACAAAAGATCACAATAGGGAGTGAGAACATTTATCAATTACAATAATACAATCTTATAATATATAGATATATATGTTTCAACTTCCTCAACACATTCTATTTTATGAAGATTTAAATTAAATTTGTAGTGACTAGTCAGGATAAATGAACTCAATTTTAATCACTCTCACAGTGATATTTACTCATTTAAATCCCCAAGGTCCAACCTCCATCTACAATATCATCAAATCTTCACAAATAGATATTATTGTAATTGAATAATATAACTATAGATTAATAAATAGGATTGTTGCATTAGTAGAGATAAAATAAAGTAAACAAACAAGACCAGTACGTAACTGGAGATAATTAAAGTAGGACCAGTGCAAGACTGAAGATAAAATAAAATAAACAAAAAGGATCAGTACATAACTGGAGATAATTAAAATAGGACCAGTGCAAGACTGGAGATAAAATAAAATAAACAAAAAGGACCAGTACATAACTGGAGATAATTAAAATAGGATCAATGCAAGACTAGAGATAAAATAAAATAAACAAAAAGGACCAGTACATAATTGGAGATAAAATAAACAAGCATAAGGTAGGACCATTACGTAGTTAGAGATAAATAAACAAATAACTAAATAAATAGAATGAGGTTAGGGACATCTCACTCCACAACTATAAGCAAAATTAAATAAATTTAATGATAATATTCTCCTCTCCTACCTTAAGAGTTGCGGATGAGGTACCAAAATTTTTGTAGAGACAATTTTTTTTCCTCTCTTTCCCTTCCTCCCTCTCTCTTTCTTTCTCTCTCTTCCTCTCTCTCTTTCCTTCTCTCTTTTCTTCTTTCTCTCTTTCCCTCTTTCTCTCTCTCCTTCTTTCTCTCTCTTCCTTTCTCTCTTCCCTTTCTCTTTCTCCTTCTCCCTATGGGTCCTTCCCCCTACCCTTTTTATAGCAATTTTTTTTCTTTTTATTTATTTAATTAAGTAATCATAAATGCAGTAATTATGATTTTGATAATGTTTATCTTTTAAGATAAGATAATGTTTATCTTTTACATTAATTAAGATGTTACATTTCTCCTATACTAACAGAAATTTCGTCCTCAAAATTTTTAGCGACTAAAATAGATGAGGGTAATTTTCTTTTATTTTCTTTTCTAATTCCCACATAGCATCTCCAGTAATTTCATTCCAAACAACCTTTACTAGTGGAATTTGTCTTCCTCTCAGTTGCTTGATCTTCATATCTGTAATCTGTACAGGCATTGTTTCAAATGTAAGGTTATCCTTTAATTGTACTGTATCTGGCATTATTACATGAGAATGGTCAGAAATATATTTTCTTAATTGAGACACATGAAACATATTATGAAGATTAGAAAGGAAAAGGGGTAAGGAAATTTGATAAGCAATAGGACCTATTTTTCTAATAATTTGATAGGGACTAATAAATCGAGGAGTGAGTTTCTTGACTTTCATTACTCTACCAACTCCGGTTGTCGGTGTTACTTTCAAGAATACATGTTCACCTTCTTGGAATTTAAGGGGTCGTCTTTTCTTGTCAGTATAACTTTTCTGCCGGCTTTGAGTTGTTCTTAATTTTTCCCTAATCATCTTAATTTTCTCCGTGGTTTGTTGAATCATGTCAGGACCTAAGATTAAATTTTCTCCAGTCTCAAACCAACATAAAGGTGTCCTACATTTTCTCCCATACAATGCCTCATAGGGTGTCATACCTATGCTAGAATGGAAACTGTTGTTATAAGTAAATTCAACTAATGATAAGTATCAGTCCCAGCTACCAGAATCTTCTAGCACACATGCTCTCAACAAATCTTCCAAGGACTGAATGGTTCTTTCTGATTGTCCATCAGTTTGAGGATGATAAGCTGAGCTAAGATGAAGCTTAGTTCCTAAGGCTTGATGTAGACTTCCCCAAAATTTAGAAGTAAACCTAGGATCCCGGTCAGAAATAATACTAGATGGAACTCCATGTAACCTCACAATTTCTTTTATGTACAATTCAATCAGTTTCTCCAATGAATACCTGATGTTAATGGGTAGAAAATGAGCAGACTTTGTCAACTTATCCATGATAACCCATATGGAATCAAATTTTTGAATTGTTCGTGGTAAACCAACTATAAAGTCCATTGCAATACTATCTCATTTCCACTCAGGTATGTCTAAAGATTGTAGCATTCCTCCAGGCCTTTGATGTTCTATCTTAGCTTTTTGACAAACTAAGCATGATGTTACATATTGTGCCACTTGCTTCTTCATTTTAGGCCACCAAAATATTTTCTTAAGATCTTGATACATTTTTGTTGTGTCTGGATGTATGCTCAATTTACTCTTATGTGCTTCATCTAAAATTAGTTTTCTAATCTATACATTATTAGGCACACATATTCTACCACTAAATCTCAAAATTCCTGCTTTATCTATGCCAAATTTTTCTCCATTCTTTTGTCCTATCAACTTCTTTTTCTTTTGAATAAATTCATCAACTACTTGAGTCTCTTGAATTTGTCTTTGTAATCCACTAGTAATCTGAGTTAAGTTTAATTTTATTCTATCAGGGTGCATGGTAATTGATAAATTCATGTTTCTGAACTCTTCTAGCAGACTCATCTCATGAATCATAAGGGAAGAGACATGTAAAGATTTTCTACTTAAAGCGTCTGCTACTACATTTGCCTTTCCTAGATGGTAATGTAATTCAGAATCATAATCTTTCAAAATCAAACAAGTATTTAAGACTTTTATGATCACTAAAAACCTCAAACTTACCACCATACACATAATGTCTCCATATTTTGAGTGCAAAAACGATAGCGGCTAGTTCTAGATCATGAGTTGGATAATTTTTCTCATGTGTTCTTAATTGTCTCGAGGCATATGCAACTACCCTTCTATCTTGCATAAGAACACATCCTAATCCCATTTTGGAAGCATCACAAAATATCACAAAATGTCCAGTTGGGTTAGGCAATGCTAGTACAGGGGAAGTGGTTAATCTTCTCTTAAGTTCTTGAAAACTATTTTCGCATTTTTCTGTCCATTCAAAAACTTGACCTTTCTTGGTGAGTTGGGTTAAAGGCATAGCCATTTTAGAAAATCCTTCAATGAATCTCCTATAATATCCAGCCAAACCCAGGAAACTACGAATCTCAGTCACTATTTTTGGTGGATCCCATTGTAGAATTGCTTCTACCTTAGTTGGGTCTACTGACACTCCCTCTTTGGAAATCACATGACCTAAAAATTTCACTTCTTTTAACCAAAATTCACACTTAGACAATTTAGCATACAATTGTTTGTCTTTTAAAATTTGAAGAACAACTTGAAGGTGGTCCGCATGATCTTCAAAACTTTTAGAATAAATAAGAATGTCATCTATAAAAACTATAACAAAATGAACTAAAAATGGACGAAAAATCTTATTCATATAATCCATGAATATTGCAGGAGCATTGGTCACACCAAAAGGCATTACTTGATATTCATAATGACCATACCTAGTTCTAAATGCAGTTTTTTGTACATCTTCTGCCTTTACTCTAATTTGGTGATATCCTGATCTTAAATCTATTTTAGAAAATACAGAAGCTCCCCTTAATTGATCTAACAAATCATCTATTCTTGGAAGAGGGTATTTATTCTTTATGGTGAATTTATTTAACTGACGATAATCTACGCACAACCTAAAGCTGTCATCTTTCTTCTTAACTAATAAAACAGGGGCTCCCTAAGGTGATACACTAGGACGAATGAATTGTTTTCCAAGTAATTCTTCCAATTGTTTCTTCAGTTCTGTCAGTTCAGAAGGGGACATCCTATAT